TATGATAAAAAGAGTTAGAGTTGAATGCTGGTGATGGCTGCAAAATGGAATTCATGTATTTAATATTACTTAATGGGAAACTTAAAACTGGTTAAGAGGCTGAGAGAAGCTCAGTGGTAGAGCACATGCTGGATTAGATAGTTAGCATTACAAAACCAAAAGTCTTAAGATGGTGAATTTCATGTAGTATATATTTATTTTATCACTATAAAAAATTATGGAAGGGCTGGGGTTGTGGCTCAGCGGTAGAGCGCTTGCCTCGCATGTGTGAGGCACTGAGTTCAAGCCTCAGCACCACATAAAAACAAAAAGATAGTGTGTCCATCTACAACTAAAACAATATTTTTTTTTAATTAAGGGAATAAAATCTAATGGAGAGTGAAACACTATGCTAAAACTAATCAAAGACAAGCAGCAGTAACTAAATTTAGAAACAGACTTCAAGTCAGGAAAGCTTCTTTATAATGTATAAAGATAAAGGGGTCAATTCTCCAAGAGTCATAACAATGCTTAACATGTATGTGCCCAACAGAGCCTCAAAATACATGAGGCAAAAGCTAACACAGAGCCAGGTGCAGTGGCACATGTCTGTAATTTCATTGACTCAGGAGGTGGATACAGGAGGATTACAAGTTTGAGGCCAGCCTCAGCAACTCAGCAAGACCCTATCTCAAAATAAAAATAAAAAGGGCCAGAGATGTGACTTAAGAGTTAAGCACCACTGGTCCCCCCCCCCCCCCCCAAAAAAACTAAACTGGTACAGACACCTTGGAAGATAGTTTGATGGTTTCCTACAAAACAAACCAGACAATACAGCAATCACATTCCTTGGTTATTTACCAAAAAAGAAAGCTGAATTCTTACCATATATACAAAAACCTGCACACTGTTACAGCAGCATTATTTTTAAGTGCCAAAACATGGAAGCAATCAAGATGTCCTTCAGCAGGTGAATGGATAAACTCATTTGCCAGACAATGGAATGATTAAGCACTAAATAGAAATGGGCCATATAAAGACATGGAGGAACCTAAAATGTATAATATTACATGAAAGATAATTTGAAAAGATTACAAAATGGTATGATTCCAACTCTATGACATTATGGAAAAGGAAAAATTATGAAAACAGTAAAGAAAATCAGTGGTTGCCATGGGTTAGGGAGAAAGAGGGATTTTTTAAATTTGGGGGCATTGAAATTAGTCTGTATGCTACCAAATGTGGATATAAATCATGAATTTATTAGAATGTATAACACCAAGAGCTACTTTAAACTACAGACTTTGGATGATAATGATGTGCTGATACAGGTCCCACAAATGTGCCACTTTGGTGAGCAATGTTGATAATGGGGAAGGCTATGAAAGTATAGGGGCAAAGGTGTATGCGAATTCTCTGTACCTTCTGTTCAATTTTGCTGTGAACCTAAAATTAAACTTTTTCAAAAAGGTCTGTTAAAAAAAATGCTTGATATCAATGACTGATGATATCAATCAGTCATTAGGGAAATATGAATTAAAACCACAATAAGACCTATCATGTTACTTTTCAAATTGGCTAAAATCAAAACCTAACAAGTACTGGTGAAGTTGTGGACTAACTGGAGATCTGATTCACTCCTGGGAGTGGAACGGGGATGGAGGGGAATATAAAATGGTATCGCTACTATGGAAAACAGCTTCACCATTTCTTAAAAAGATAAACTTGATCCCAGAGGTCCATCCATTCCATTCCATTCCAAAATATTTACCAAGGAAAATATACGTCCCTACCAAGTCTTGCTTATAAATTTTAAAGTAGCTTTATTTGTAAAGGCATAAATTGGAAACAAGTCAAATATTTGTCAAGAGGTAGGTAGAAGAACTGAGGTACATCCATATTTTGGAATACTACTTGGCAATAAAAGGAACAACCTATTCATGTATGTTGCAACATGTACGGATCTCAAAACTAATAAGCTAAGTATGTCAGACCAAAAAAAAGCATACTGTTAAATTCCATTTATATAAAATTCTAGAAAATACAAATTAACCTACAGTGGCAGAAAGCAGATCAGTGGTTGCATGAGAAAAGGAAAGGGCACAGGAAGATTTTCCTGGTGATGGATATGTTCATGATCTACACTGCAGTGATAGTTTTATAACTTTCCAAACCAGACAGAGAAAATAATGAGGAAAGAGTCATCAAATCAATTCTATACTATACTGAATATTTCCTTAACTCACCTTAATCTAAGGAACATAAAACTTATAGAAAAGCTGAGGGATACCTAAATTATATGGTGTTTATTGTACCTGATTATACGTTATGCTGTACATTAAAAAAATGAAAAGAAAAAATAGGAAGAGGAGGAGGGATGAAGAGGAGTTAGTGTGAAACCACTGCCTAGCAACAGGGTTTTACTAGATGACACAACAGCACTGTGGAGCAATGTTGAGGCTCACTGGAAATATGTGACCATAAACTTAAAAACGAGACCATTCTACACTGCTGCATATCTTTTTCAGCCACATTTATCTATCTGCTCATGTATAGACACACAGTGGGTACAGAATTAAAGGTAAATGAATTCAAGGCATTTGTTAAGCAATTATGAAGGGAGTTCAAGTTATACAGAAGGAAGTAATTGAAAGATGGTTTTGGTAACAAACAGAATGACGAGGGACATGAGGATGCAGGAGGAAGTCATGGACAATTACATAGGTCAACGGAGTCATTCAACAAAGGCACTACAGGGACTGGTGATACTACAATGAAGACAGGCAAATACTTTATAGCAAACACACGGGTGTTTATTAAGTATCCTTCATATACAACACAGACTCAGTGGAAAAGAGTGCAACAAGAATAGAAAGGGAGGTCTGTTTTCTGAGTGAGTCTTTGGTAAAATAACCAGAATGACTTAAAAACAACATTCAGTAAGCATTCTCTGTGCTATTCCTACTAGTCAATCTACAGGAATCATTTCTCCCACTTCATTTGCCGTTTCCAAATGTTAATAGTGATAGTGTTGGAGCTGGGCTGTGGCTCAGTGGTAGAGCACTCGCCTAGCATGTGTGAGGTACAGGGTTTAATCCTCAGCAAAACGTAAAGATAAAATAAAGGTGTTGTATCCATCTACAATGAAAAAAATATTCTCAAATAATGATAATAACGAGAGTGTAACTTAACTGTAGGTCTGTGGGTTTTGTTTTGTCTTTTAATGATTGATTTCTAGATTAAGCCAGAAATAAATTTGGAGGTAAACAGCTTCCCATCACCTCAAACTATTTCTATGTTGACCCAACCCAGACCCCAGAAGAAAACTAATACCCTCTCCTTGGTTCTTCTTTTGAAAACAGCTTTAAATACCTTTTGCAAAGAACCAACTTCTTTTGAAATTAAATTTTACATGAATATTTTTAACATTTATCATTTCATTTGTGGTAATGTTATCTACCTTTCATCTTGTATAATTTGATCCAGTCCAAGGTTTGGATCATTTCGATATAAACCTCATGTTTAAATTACTTTTAATCCTTTTAATTTTCTACCATCAGGATTCCTTTCCCTTTGATTATCATACATTTTTATCTTCTTTTGAAATCTGTTTTAAATGACTAGCATTCCCTCCTTTTGCCATTAAAAAGTTCACTCAACCTCACAGTAACTCCAATTTATCCCAGTGTTTTGCTATTTCCAGATCATTGAACAGTTAGTATTGGGTTAAACAAAGAGGAACTAATCAAATTAAATTTGTTACACACTGGTACTACCCCAATCAGATTTAGAAAACTATATGCTTGGTGTGGTAGTGCACACCTGTAATCCCAGTGGCCTGAGAAGCTGAGGCAGGAGGACTATAAGTTTGAGGCCAGCCTCAGCAACTTAGTGAGTCCTTAAGCAAGACCCTAAATAAAAAAGGGCTGGGGTATAGCTCAGTGGTTAAGTGCCCCTGGGTTCAATCCCTGGTACCAAACCGAACAAAAACGGGTAATTCACGTTAAATTCACGCATCCAATCCTATAATTGCAATTTTATCCCAATTATATTTAAAGGAAAACAACATAGTTTTATTTTTGTTTTCCTTTATAAATACTTGATTCATGTGATCTGATTTAAGGCAGCAAGCTAAACTGAAGTTTATAAAAAAGAGAGAACAGTGTTATAGAACAGTATTTTCCTGCTTAAGAGACACTGCTGATTTTGCCATATTTTGAGTCTTAAGTCATTGTGCATGACTATGTCTCATACCATGGAGGTCTGACATCTTTGGCCCTGTCTGTATTCCCTGGTCACTGTGATGACCAAATGCTTCCTCACATTTTCAAATGCCCACAGCAAGTGGGCATCTTAAAATGACATTTCTAGTGTCATTTGGCAGACTGTGTATCTAAGTCCAGAAATCTCCATTCCCTACTTACTCTCTTCTTTCCATTTTTATGGCCATTAATCTAATGCTGATGTCCTCATAACCCTAAACAGGAAAAACACAACTTCCTATTTCATTGATTCTTAGGTTTTCTTTCCTCAAAGCCACTGTTTCACATTCCTGTAAAATTTATATTTCCCAAATATCTTGCTTTCTTTATGTCACTCATTCATCAATAATGGGGATAAAATTCAAATCCTCCTGGTTTCTAAGACTCTTGAATGAGACTTCAACTGTCCTCATCTACCACTATATTCCCTCTTTATGCCCTTCTCTCTATCCAACTTGTTTCACTCTCAATTCTAGCATTAAAGGTTCATCTCTACACTTTACTGATGCTTCACCTATGAACAATCTTCTATTTCTAAATAAATGCCACTCGCCTCAGATGCTACTCGGGTCTTACATGCTCCATGATGCTTCCCCCACAGGGTCTTTCATCTCTGCATCCATGTTGAGACTGAATTGAAAGGAGAATTAAAAGGAGGCAACAAAAGATACATTTTTAGGGAAATATTTAATAAGCTAAGTGATAAATAATTAAAAAGCCCACACTCTATATGAAAACAAATTCATAAAATAGTTTCACCTGTTTCGCTATTTTCAGGCAGAGATTCATATTCTGAGTGATCCAGAGCCAAAGTGTTCATGTCTGTCTGGTCTGACTCCTGTAAGTCCGGTAATGCTGCATTCTCTTGACTTTTGTCACCATCACCACTGGCATCCAATCCTATAATTGCAATTTTATCCCAAAAGGCAGTGTTAGAAGAATAATGTTCCTTTTAAAAAAAACTTATACTTGCAGATATTCAAAATCTTTAATTGGATTATAAAAGATCTCCAGACTCCAAGTACTATTACAAACCAGGAAACAAAGGAAAAAAATCAACAGCTTCTCAAAGAGATTAAATAGTAACAGAGGCAAAGATTTGACAACAGGGGTGTTCCTGGTCAAGGCCATGCTCACAACTCACCCTGCTGGCCACAGTCTCGATGGCTGGGCACCTCCTCCCACGCAGCGCTCACACCAACAGCAGCACTACTTGCCTCCAAATGTAACATATGAGTCCCCCATACTTTCGCATTCGGGTTTAGCTCTGAAACCTTAGTTGTTGGTACCTAGAAAAAAAAATTTATATATACATTTGTATCCAAATTTCAACTAAGTGCTACTGAAGGGTTAAAACTACATCTACATTAAGAGAATTTAGGGTTAAAAGGCTGAGCAGACCTCAGGGATAAAATCAGATTCCAAAAGTCACAAAGTAGAAGTGCTCAGAACATTTAATTAGCCCCCAGGTTCTTAAGTTCCTCCTAGGCACAGGCTTCTAGATGCTGCAAATGACAGGTACAGTCCCTGCCTTCATGAAGAGTTCAGTGTCTCACAAATAGTGTAATTATAAATAACTGGTGATTTCCTATAATATCTAACACAAATCACAATTTACAAATTTGAATACAATGTAAATGTATTAAATGGGGTAAAATTTTAATTATAAAGCTTCAAACACTCACATAAGCCAAAGATGTACAAAACGGAAGTTCCTCCTAAGAACAGGACTGTCAGCTACTGGAGGACGAGAGAAAGCTAAAATATCCACTGAGCAGGACAACAAAATCTCTCACATTTTCAGCAGAGCTACAATACTATTTCCACTCCTAAAAGCACTTCCATCTCACCTTCAGAGCTTTCTCAGAACACAGTTTCCCAATCCTATTGCAGTGGGAACTCCAGGTGATCCCCATGCTGCTTGCCCAAAGTTCTTACATGAGCCCTCACTCCACTGGGGCTTACAACTCTCCACAAACAGGTGTGCAACGTGGGGCTAGTTATTTACCCTCTAACTTAACTTCACCTGAGAAATGAGCTTTGCAGTTCCCGTCTTCTAGGATTACTGAATCAGGGCATTTAAAGAACCCAACATGGTGCCTGGCACACACCAGGCACACTCATTAGCAATTATTACAATAAAGGATGTTCAGTAGCTTAGACTAGCTATCGCAGTCCTCTGCTCAAACACTGGAGTCATCCCTTCAAAGGCTGCCTGGCTCATTCGTGGTAACAGGTGAAGTTCTTACTACAGCTCCACTCCCTTGAGCTAATTTTTCATCACATAGACCTCCTTGCTTTTTCTAAATACACTGGCACTTTGTCTCCTCCTGTCCTGTCTAGAATACCATTCGCAGATACACCCTAAAATACTTAAGAGCCATCCCCCCACACTGGATAGTCCCCACTTTCATGGTTTTTCTACTAGTCTAGTTTACTTCTGCTTAAAAACTTTGAATGACTCTCCAAGGTCTAAAGAAAAACCAAACATCCCAGAGGCACTTGCTCCCCAAATTTTAACTTCAATTTTGCCATTACAATCCCTTGACAAACCTAGATAAATTGTCTGCCTTTTCAAACACACCACCAGCCTTCACACCATGGTGCAGGGAGGTAGAGCTACCTAAGAAGGGATGGGGTCCTGGTCTCATGTGTTCTTCAGGCTAGTACTCCAGCTGAGAGCAGCCTTGCTGTGCTATGCCAGGGTGCTGTGCTATGCCAGGGTGCAGTGCTGAAGGTACTAGTTTCTGTGCTCCACGGCATGCAAAAAGGTAGGAAAGCACTATATTAAGCTATCAAGGAGACACACAGATTAGAAAATTTAAAGACATAATAAATTCACATTGGCTCAGGTGTTGAGGCTGGCAGAGAAAACCATACAACATTTTCTGAAACTGAGAGTACCAGGCTTATGGATAAAATGCCAGATATTCACGCTATGGAAGCAACTTATTGACTGCTTTTCTGGGCACTGGGTAATAATTAAAACATCATGCCCACAAAACCAGAGGCTTAAATGAGTACCTATCTGGAATTCTTTTACTTTTTTAAGTAGGAAAAGGATAGGGCTCTCCTTCTCCTTCAAGAATATTATAATCAAGAAACACTGATTTTACAATTTCCCTTTTTACCTCTAACCTTCCAGTTCATCTTTGGCTTCTAATTCTGCCTAGGATTAGTCTCTCTCTCTCTCTCTCTCTCTCTCTCTCATCCTCTCACCCATCAAACAAGTAAATGCTCACTAGTTTGCCCATGACAAGCACAGTGCTAAGACATGGAGCTCCAACAAAGAACACACGACCTGCCTCCTGCCTCCCAGAGTTAAGAGAGGGGTACAGAAAACACTCCCTACTTCACCACACCCAAGCTTTCACAAGTATTTGCATCTTCTTGACCTGTTTTGTTTTTAAATTATTTCTCTATTCTATTTTCTACTTTAGTACTTGTGTAAATGGCCTCTTCTAATTAGGCCCAGTGTTCTTTCCAACACCCAATTAGACACAATCAAGTTTTCCTACCTCAGTTTCATTCCTCCCACTTAAGACTCCTTTTATCTCGTGTACACATTACGCATTCTTTAAATTCTTAACACCAAATGACATTAACCTTTTCCAGTTTCAGCACCTTTGCAAACAAAGGTCCTATGTAACCAATGTTTTTTAGTTCATTATTGCAGATGATTCATTGTGGTGGCTGTGAAGTGGCCATGAGCAGCACTTAGAGCTATTACAGCACACATGGTCTCCCTGGTGTCTAGGCTTGGAGTGTACTGTCTACACACTCTTGGTGGCAGCCACCATGGTTTGCTCACCTTGTATCATTAATACCCAGTAGAGTCCAGAACTTAGCAGGGAGGGGCTTGAGAAATATGCTGAATGAATCAATACCTAACAAAGTGACAACACAGAAAATGATAATTTCCACTATTTGACAACATGTACAAAGTTTTATGCTTCAAATGAACAGGACCCTACCCTTAAGAAGTTATTACCTCTTAAGTGGTAAATTAGCCTAAATCAAGAATCAGAGGGGCTGGGATTGTGGCTCAGCAGTAGAGAGCTCGCCTAGCACGAGCAAGGCCCTGGGTTCGATCCTCAGCACCACATAAAAATAAATAAATAAAATAAAGATATTTTTAAAAAATCAGAAGCTTAGCACAATTTTAGGCAGTTAACCAGTATTCAATAAATACTGTGATTAGAAAACCAAGGCAGAGCAAGATTAAGTAACTTGCCAACAAAAATAATGGCAATTAGAAAGTTGAGTTCTAGTGTAACCCATTAATGTGTACAATTAATGAGCTAACTTTTTTCTTTAAACATTGTGTTCCAATATCAGCAAAAACAAAACATTAGTCAAGAATTCATTAACTCCTAATAATGCACATACGGAATTTTTTTTATTAATGATATTTTTTTTTAAAACCCAAAGATGCATTTCTTTAAAATATGATTATTTGCTTTGTAGTCATATATAATTCTAAATAATTATCAAGAACTCTAGTTTCATCTGCTTGGCTATACAAGTCTTATTTTTACACTGAAAATTTACGAGCAAGCAATGGTTATTAGAATCAGAAGCAGGCTGACCTTAACAGCCACTCTCTGAAGTGATTTTACATCAACAGCTAATGCTACTTCTCTGAAGAGAAGGGTATCACCAATTTCTGATACTCTAAACAAACAAAAACTCCTCTGCCCCTCAAAATGAAATATCCGTTTTTAAAAATATTATTAATTCATAATTTATAATAGAATAGAGAAATAATTAAAAACAAAACAAAGAGCTATTACAGCACACTTGGTCTCCCAGAAGTCTAGAAAGACACTCAAATTAGCTGCCCACAGAATCATTTGCAAAGATTCTTCCAAACCAGTGGGATCAGTCCCATCTCAGAGACCTGAGAAAGAGCTACACAGTCATTCTGACTAAAAGAAAACAATCAAGATTTTAAAGCCAATTAAAAGTAGCAAAATTTACCTGCTTTAGATACATACAACACAAAAGTAGCAGAAATTCATAAGTTTGTATTTTATGGAAAGGAACAGAATGGTCCATCTGAGGAGTTACTGAGTAGGAACTAGAGTGACTAATACCAGAGGTGTCATTTAGATGGCAAACATAAAATAGGTGAGATAACAGGGGAAATAAAACCCCAAGTCTGTACTGTTCTTGGAAGTTGCACTAAATGAAGTTTAGTAATTCAGAACAATTCACTGACTTCAAAGTCACTGAAGTGTCCACCTTTGGTTGTTTATTTGTAAAATGGAGAAACAGCTGCTATGTTAAGATTTAGTATTAAAAAGATATCTGTAACAGCACTTTGGAAATAACCTGAAAAAGTAAGACAACACCATTAAATGTGGTAATGCCTCAACTTAGAAAACTGGGCATATCTCATGATTTAAATAAAGTTAATTTAAAATAGAAAGCATGTACCTGTTAAAGTCATGCAAATACAGACAGCAACAGGAATCCTTTGCACACTGCATGCAACTACTAAACACTGAGCAATTAGTAGTCAACTGCCAATTGTATGTACTTACATGAAAGCGTCTATGTTTTTTATTTATTATTATTATTATTTTGTACCAGGGATTCAAACCAGGGGTGTTTAAGCACTTAGCCCATCCTCAGCCCTTTTTATTTTTTATTTTGAGACAGGGTCTCATTAAGTTACTTAGAGCTCTGGTAAGTTGCTGAGGTTGACTTTGAACTTGTGATCCTCTTAGCCTTGAGAGCCACTGAGATTATAGGCATGTACCACCACACCAAATCATGTATATTATTTTAAAGGCTTAATTTTTCACTTTTTCCCTCTACAACTATTTAAGGAGAAAAATGGGACTCTGGTAACACTTCTAAATATGGCTATAGAAGGATAAAAAAAAGGGTTAATGAGCAATTCCTTAAAATTATATGATGGGATTTCTACTTGTTTATTTCCATACTACAGATATTAGTATTTGAATTGTACCTACTGCCTTAATATTATCAATGGGTTTTCTTGCCTAATGCCACTAAAATAACAAACTACTGGTTGAATAAATGAGATTTTGTATTCCAAGTGGTCAGTCCTTTGTGTCTATGGATACATGTGGATCAAAAATATTTGGGAAAACATCAGCGTCTGTAATAACATGTACAAGTTTTTGTCATCACTTTTGTATACAATACAGCACAAATATTTCCATAGCATTCACTTTGTATTAGGAATTGTTAAGTAATCCGGAGACAACTTCAAGTATGTGGGAGGATATGTGTAGATTATATGCAAATACTATACCAT